CAACTGTATTTACATTTTTAATGGCATAAACCGATTTCATGTTAGGAGAATTATGCAAATATTGACAGTATTCAGTATGCTATGCCTACGGACGGCTTCAAGCTTTCCGAATTCCGTAAGCCCCATATTCAAATAACTCTTTTGCCTCTTTCACCTTAAAGAACATGTACAACAAGGACTTCACCCTCGAGTTCTCGCGCGATCGCAAATCCATGTCAGTCCACTTGACACCAAAAGGTGTTGCCAACTTCCACTACCCGGCTGGTGGACCAACAGGACCAACGCCCGGCCAACGGATGTTCGTGAAGGGGGCACCAGAAGGTGTGCTTGACAGATGTTCTTTTGTTCGTTGCAACGGCAAGAAGTTTCCCATGAATGCAGCTCTGAAGGCTGAGATATCTAAGCATGTGGCTGCTTACGGCACAGGACGCGATACTCTTCGCTGTCTGGCCCTGGCAACTTCTGACAACCCACCAAACAAGGATACTATGGATCTGGAGGAATCCACAAAATTCGTGAAATACGAAGTGAGCATTCCCCTCTCCACTTAAACAAGACATCTATTATATACTCACTGTAGAATTATCTGGGGCGGCAGTGAGCGCCACTCAATATATCGTAAATGTGCAATTACGATTAAATACACACTATGGCAGGCTATTGTATCTCCGATATGATCGTGACCCTTTGCTCTATACCAGTGGTTCCCAAACTTTTCCTAGTTGCTGCGCCCTTTTTCAATTAAAATATTTCTATGGCGCCCTAAGTATGACTATTCGAAAATAAGAGATAAAAATAAATTAAACTCGTGTATCTTTATTCTTTTTTATACTTTATTAACATTAAATTAATATTTAATGATCAATGTGATGGATGAGCCTGCAAATCACTGCACATTTTCTCAAATTGAAGCTTTTATAATATTTTGCGGCTAATCGGGGCGCTGCGGCACACAGTTTGGGAATCACTACTCTATACATCCAATAAAAGGTGGATAACGTAGGCTTTTAGAAGCCCAAGCCCCCTATTCAGTTTTTAACGCGTAATTCTACTCAAAATATGAGGCCGATTGCGAATGGAGGGCAGTAAACTGTTTTTTCGTTTCATTATGGACTCAGTTATTTCCTGGTACTCTAAAACCACATTCTCAGGACTTTTACCTTCTCTCAGGACAGGCCCAAAGTTATCACCAGTCAAAGTGGAATGGTTTCATTTCACTACCTGGCCCGAGGTGATCCGGATACGCAAATACTTGTCCGTATGACATAAGTTGTCATGTTGAGAGGTTTCAGGCTTTGGATAACACGGAATGAAGACGCGTAATGAGCAAACATGGCGCGCACTGACTGAA